CTAGGGCATTTATTTCTCTTGCTCTTAGAACCAGAATCAGTTCTTGACCCTTCACAGTCTGGAGCATATACCAAGAGCCCTCCAGGTTCATGGCCTTTGGCCTCAGACTGAATCACACCACTGCTTTTCTTGGTTCTGCAGTTTGTAGATGGCACACTGTGAAATATTTGTGAGGCTTTTTGGATTTCATAATCATATAAGACAATTTATATAATAAAGTCTAGGTGTGTGTGTGTCTCTTATTGACTCAAATGTTAGTCAGTTAGACATCTTTCTTATTGCTAGAACACAATACCAGCACTGGCAACTTAGGGGAGAAATTTAATTTGGCTCATGGTTTCTGGGATTCAGTACATGGTCAGTGACCACAAAACAGAAACTGTTGTGGAAGAGCACTGCAGAGCAAAGCTGTTAGTTCATGGAAGCAGAGAAGAGGAAAAATACCAAGGAATAAGCCTGCTAAGTTCTATGACCCACCCAGATACAACAGTAGCATCTCTCAGCAATCATCTGGGGAGCTCTCATACCATACAACCTGACACAACAGAGGTGAACCATCATAGTGCTGTTTCTGTGGAGTACTTTCAACACTTGGCTCCAGCTTTGCATATTTACGTATTTACAGTATGTGTCTTGCAACTGATGCCTTTGTATTCTCTGATTCATCCGTCTTGAATTATTTATGAATTTCTCATGCCTATGGACCTTGCTGATTCTGCTTTTTACTGGAACACCTTCCCCACCACCCCACTGTTTAACTACTTAATGAGTAGTCATCTTTATAAGGTCCAGTTCAGGTATCATCTACCCTAAGAGTCTTTCTTTGATGTCTTTTTTCCTGCTTTCAATCTCGGCAGTAAGTCCAACCAGGGAGCACTCTTGGCCCTCTACATATCTCTCTAGCTGAGCTCACTCTACTGATAGTACTTTTCTTTCTCCGCTGCCCTGCGAGTGTTTTGAGGACCTGAGAAATTGTCTTTGCTTTGCTCTTACTGTAGTATGGTTCCAGCCATGAGAAGCACTTGAACATAATAACACTGAACATCTGTTAAATGCTTTCAGAAACATTCTTCCAATTCTTTGAGGTACATTGATTTCTAGTAAGTTTTAAAAAATAAACTCAGGTATGGTTAAGTAGTCACTTGTATCAAATCACAAGACTCATGCTCTTATGTATTATGCCAAATATAATGTTAGCCTAAAAATTTTTTTCTTTAATTAAATTAATTTCCAACATTAAAAATTCTTTAGGTTTCCAAAGAAGCAAACAGAAAGCAGTTGGAAAGCAAGAGCAACCAGGCATGCCTACATCCTCACTCAGTGCCATCTGGATTCAGCTGGGCAGGACCTGTTCCCCTGAGCCAGGGCATTTGACTTCCTACTCATGATATTTTGTGTTTTGACCATTTGAATACTTGCTATAGATCTTGAAGGCCTTTATTTTATGACCCATGCGTTGGGGAATGTGAGGATTTTTCAGTCCTTTTTAAAGTGGAGATTAAAAGGTTAATTTGAATACGTGCTATTGAAAAGATACCCGAACTTCAAGTTCTTTTGAGCATATACTTGCACTTGTGTAGGAGTCTATGCTAATATTGGCATTCTATTTTTATCATTCTCCCAGAGGGTAGCATGCTGTTAAATCCAGAAGGATGAGCCCTGTGTAATGCTGCTACTACCATAATTGATAATGCTGTCCCACACTGTAGTCATGGATTTGTTGCTCATTGTAAATGGCTAATATGTAGCTTATATTGAATCTGATGCTTCACATAATTTATTGCTGAACATATGCTAGATTGCCTAACCACCACAATGATATTAGCAGTCTCATTTCTTGATGCATGGTCACTGTCCAAATTTTATAAATCCAGCATCTATCATAAACAAATTCTCTTTCCAATAAAGTACTATAAATTTTAATATCTGGAATACTAAAAATGAGTTATTCTTAGGCAAGACCTCTCTCTTTTTATTAAATAACATTCTTCTCTAAAAAGAGTATTTGGAGTGGGGGGAAAGGCAAATGAAGAGAAGGGGATCTTTATCTTCTTAAGACAATTATTTTAGAATTAGCAAAGCATAATAAAGTAGAGAAAATTACAAAAATGTGTGAAAAAAACATGATAGGTATTATGATAGAGATTTGGGATCCATAGGAAGTTGTGCCTCATTTGATTCTAGACAATTGAAGAAGAATTTTTAAAGAAGAAACCATATTTAAGGTAAGGTAAGAGCTGAAAGTAAATTGGAGTTAGTGTGACAAAAAAGTGTGGAAGAGTGTTTCTGATCAAGGGGCTCATGTGTTCAAGGCGTGGAGATCGGAGGCAGCAAGCAAAGGAAGTGAGATCAGTCCCTGTGGTGGGGAGCTGGTGTCAGGATGGGTGTGGCAAGAAGCAGAGCTCAGGAGGAAAGCAAGAGTACAGCCACGAGAGGCTGATAGCTTGGTTTACTTTATCTTACTTTGTTTTTATTAACCGGTGTGAATTATCCATACTAACTGTTTGAATCAGGGTAACACGTATTTCCCGCTTATCATGCACTGTTTGGAGACCCTGAGCTCCTCTTTGTAGATCTTCATTGAGTGCATAAATTAGGTGATTATGGACTATAGATATCTGATGTGTTAAGGAATTCCAGATCTTGCTTCTTCTATCCAGCTATGTTTTGGTTCTCATTATCTGAACTTTCTTTATATCCTCCTCCTTTGGCCTCAGTAATCACTATTCTATATTCATATTGACTTTCTAAAGCTTCCACAGACAAGATAAAGAACACAAAGCGCCCATCTTCTTATGTTTACCTTATTTCATTTAGCATCATGTCTTTGGGCCCATCTGTCTCACTGTAAATGACAGGATTTTATTTATAATATGTATATACAATTCATTTTTTGATGAGCATCTAGGCTGGTTCCATATTTTCACTGTTGTGGATAGTGTAATAAACATGGGAGTTCAGGTATCTGTTTTATTCCTTTTGGATATTTACCCAGAAGTGGGGTTGCTGGATTGCACAATGGATTTTGTTTTAGGTTTTTGAAGAATTTTCATGCCAGTCCCAATAATAGCTGTATGAATTTACATTCTTACCAGGGTATATATGAATTTCTTCTCCACATCTTTATCACCATTTGTTATTGCTTTTATTTTTGCTAATTGCAGTCAGGTGATATTCCGGTGGTGTTCTGATTTGCATTTCACTAACGACTAAGTCATTTTTCTATTTTTGTTGTCCATTTTTACACAGCATTTCAAGAAATGTTTTTTGTGTCTTAGGAGAAAAGAAAAAAAACATTAAGTTAGGGAGTCCATATGATTAAATTGGAATTATGAGAAAGCTGGGTTGATGAAAAAATTGATGGTGACCAAAACTGAAGATGACAACATTGTAAAATACTGTGAAGTGTTCTTTATATAAAATTTAAAAAAAATACAGCAAAGATGAAAGTCAGACATACATTTGAGATACATATATTTGAGACATTTGGAAAGCAGAGTTGAGAATAAAATAAGTTTCAAGAAGTCAATTGACTTCAGAATCACCATAGAATGTTATGGAGTGATGGAACTACTCAATATCTTGGACTGGGGATGTACCTTAGTGGCACAAGTGCCCACCTGGCAAGCACAAGGTCCTGAGTTTGAGTCCCGGTACCCTCCACAAATTAACATCTTGAATTCAGTTTTGGTTACATAAGTATATATATTTACTACAACTCATTAAACTACTAAACTATGAGGGCAACTTTCTTACTTAAATAACTGTGAATTTTTTAAAAAAGACCATTGTAGCAATTTAAATGAAAGACATTGACTTGATCTAGGAAGATCATGGATGATGGTAATTGCAGATAATGCCATGATATATTAAAAAATAAAATCAGCTGAGCAGGTGAGTGGACTGACACAGGGAATAAGAAGAAAGGAGATGCATCTCCCATGAAAAGATGCCACAGAGAGATTATAAGTGGTTTTTGCACAGTCAACAATCTTATCAAAATGCAAACTCTAAGAGGCAGAGAGACAGCCTCTGACAAATGGCCACATTGATCAGCAAGTAAAGTCTTCACGTGTACACTAGAACAAGGTTTAAGATGAACCATTTAAGACATTGAAAATCATATAGAGAAAGGTCAGGGCAATTACATCCTCAGTGCCTCCAATGAACTGTGCTCAGAGAATGCAGTTCATGAAAAGCACTCTGCTGGATGATGGCGAAAATACAATGGGAAAAGAGTATGAGGTGTGAGTCTTTCCTCCATACATGAGAACCAGTACATAGGTTAAGGTTCCAGCTAAGATTTTTACATAAAATGAATTATTGAACTATTATCCATTTTTATTATATCTTTTTGTTAGAAGGGGACCAATAAGAGCTTACAATATGATCCCTTACTAGATTACTTATAATTTAGCTTGGTAGCTGCTTTGAAGCATGTAAGGTTCCAGGGATAACAAGTCCTTATGGAGAATCCAGTTTAGTTGACAGGATTTGAAAACAGCACAAATAAAATCAAAAGACAGGTGAAAATAAAGTTACCTGGAACCTAAATTATTCAAACCTCCCTCCTGTGATTTCTACATCTGAACAGACTGTAAGGTATAACATCAATGAAGGTCAAGGTCTTTCATAAAGCCCAACTTTTTTAATGTGACCATGTACATAATATGAAATTATAGGTTTCCTTTGTGTTGTTACTTTTTCATCCCCATATGCACATTAAAATATTTCTAAGATCTAACATCAGAAAATACAGCATTGTTTACAGTGTTTGTGCCCATATGCGATATGGCTACAGTTACCTGCTTGCTTTTCGGAAAACAGGTAAGTATGTACAATTTAGGAAACTATTCCCACATTTTTGAGTGCCTGTGTCTAGTTTTCAGGACCACACATATTGGAACAATTTAAGCTCGTTTGCTTACCTCCTCTCCTGTTATCCCACTGGGAATAACCGTTTTGGGGGAAAAACAGGCTCTTTGGTGCAGCAAACCTGCCTGGTGTGAGATGGGCGAAGGGAATCTTGCTGGTGGCCATATCCCCTAGGCACAGAGTACAGCTGAAGACATTGGCCTTTCACTGTGTGAACACCTCAGGGTCGCCCAGCTGAAGTTTTGCACCAAGAACAATCACAGGGGTTCTTTGATCAGGGATGAGAGATTTCCCCAGAGTGGTGCTCTCCTCAGGCAGACTCCTTAGAAGTTCCTGAAGCTCTCCAGAGACCAGCATTGACCGCATCCATGCTGTCCTCAAGGGGTGCAGTTGGTGCATGCTTGTGTACACATAGCTTGATCCCTATGTGTTCATGTGTACATTGCATGCTTCGGGTGTGTGCACGGTGCACAGCATGTTTCTTGTGTGTGTACATGTGTATAGCGTTTCTGCTGTGTTCACAGATACATAGTGGGTTTCTGGTGTGTTTACAGTTGCAAAGTGTGTTTCTAGTGTGTACACATGTGCATACTATGTTTCTTGTGTGTGCACTTGTGTGTCGTGTGCTTATTGTGACTGTTCAATTACTCAATGGGCTTTTTAACCATTAAAGGACCATAAAATTCATAATTCTTCAAAAAATCAATATTAACCATCAAGTAACTGCCTTATAAAGTGATTTTCAAAAGAGCAATATTTCCATATTTTTATTTTTTCTCCCTTTTAGTTTATGAGCTCCTTTTCTGGATGCCATACAGGTTTGCAATAGTGAACCATAGATTCATTCAGAAACCCTACAACTTAGGGTAAACCCTATGACTTAGAGTGGATTAGCCCCCCAGTGAGGCACCAGTCCTTTTTAGGTCTTCAAGTTGTAATTCAGGGAGTCACTACATTAGATCACTGAGTACTTACAGTGGAGGAGTGAAAGAGCCATTAAGAGAAGACCCAGAATTTTCCTACAAAGTAGATCTCTTATTGGTAGGATCAAGTTTATCCTACTTCCATTTTTTTTTCTGGATGTGCTATTTTTAGATTCTTCTTATGCAATATCCCAGAAAACAAGCCAATAAAATGCTACAAGATTCTCCATGGAATATTATAACTTCATTTGTTGAATGACATTATTGAAACTTCATTTTCAATGTATGTTTTTCAGTTAAAAAATAAGTTTCCATCTTGGAATGCAAATGCATCCATTTTGTAGAACTGTAGTTTAGATCACAGACACTAGTGTGGGAGTTAGGAGATGAAAATTCTAGGTCTGGCTGTCCTTTTGACTGGGCAGATCTGCCCAGCTCCTCCATTCTTCCTGGACTTCATATTCCTCAAAGGCAAAATAGATGAATCAGGCTCTTCTAGCTCTAAAGCTCCACGAGTCCGTATCAGCTCATTTTGCTAAATACCTGTGTCTCCTGAAGGAACCCAGCATTCTATTATTACTCTTCCTGAAGCCCTGGGTAGAACGCTGGCTGCTGTTAATTCTTTTGAAATGTCTACCTTAGTTTGAAATCATGCATAATTACAGCTTTCCAGGAATATCTTTATTCTGATTATGTTGCTCCTGTGCAATTCTCCCACATGAGCTTTCACATTCCAAATAGGCTGCATTTATATAGCAGATTATGCCTTGTGTCACAACACTGCATCAGCGGAGCAGGCGGAAAGTATACCCATTTTCCCCCCATGGAGAGAGCCATAGAATAGTTAGAGAACTTAAACGAGGCCGCATAACTAGTAAGGAATAAAAACAGCCTCCAAAACAAATCCCAAGTAGTGCTGTGCTTAAAGACTATGTTGCTAGGATAAAAGGATTAATGTAACTTGTTGTTGGTGAAATTCAATTTAATTCCTCTCAACAAAAGTTTATTTAGTCAGGGAGTCTCTGAAGGCTATGTTTCAGAATTCCTTAGTGGAACTAGGAAAAAAAATACAAAGGTAGTGGAGATAAAGCCTTGGGCCACTAAAATAATAATTTCTAGGGCTTGGATTTGGGAATTATGCTTTTTTTTTCAGAAGTATTTACACTGATTTTAATGTGTAGCCAGGGCTGAACCCCACTGACTCAGCTGACTCAATTTTCTGGCTCCTAGGTGAGGTTTGTGGATTCTGCTACTTTCCTGATCTCCTCTCCCACTGCTTTTTACACACTGCACACACTAAGCCCTTCTAGCTATGAATGCACAGAAATCCTCCTGCATGAGGGTCTTTGCACCAACTGTCCTCTCCATGTGTGGTATCCACCACCCCCACCTCAGCCCCACGTCAATCAGTGGGCACCAGTCAGGTCTCAGTCAATGTTACTTCTCTCTCCCCTCCTCAATGGCATCTCACACTCTCACTCATGTACTCTGGTTTCTTTTTTCCTTCATAACACTCATTACCACTTAATATTTATTTTGTTAATTTGTGCAGCATCTATATCCTTCCAGTGTCACGTTAGCTCCAGAGGAAGGAAAATTTAAGTTTAAACACTGCAGCACCCCCAGTTCCTGGAAGAATGTTTGGCATCTAGTGGGTGCCCCATCAATATTATTTGAACAGATGAGTGGAATCTAGTTGAGTCCAGGGTTTGGGTTTGTTTGGGGTCCCCCAGAGGGTCGCATGTTGGAAGCTTGGCAACTCAGGATGATGATGATGATGTTGGGAGGTGGTGAATCTGGGAGAGGCAGAATTGGCACACAGTGATGAGGTCGTGAGCCTGCTGCCTACCTAAGTGAAAACGGTCACTGCACTTCTCCTGGAATCCCAGATGCTCCCTGCGGGAGAGGTTGTTACCTAAATAGCAAGACCGGCTCATCCCTTCTCTGGCTGTTTGCCTTGTCCCCTTCACACCAGGATCCCACCATGATGCCACCCCACCCATGTGCACAGCAAGCAGAACCCTTGCCAGAACTGGAATCAGGCAGTTTGGACTCTCAGTCTCCAAAAATGGGGCTTAAATAGACCACGTCTTTATGGAGTGCCCAGACTCACAGAGTTTGCTGTAGCAATGGAAAATTGACTACTGCATTAGAGAAATCAGCATCCACCAATGTTCTCACAACACAGCATGGCTCCCTATTCATCTCTGCCTCAGTTTCTCTCTCTTTCTCTCTCTCTCTTCCCTTTCTCTCTCTTCTCTATATACCAAACTTGATCTTAGCCAAAAGGCCGAGAAGCAATTCTGTTTATATCAATAAAGCCAAACTATTTCTCTCCCTCATTCTGCTATCTCAACCACACCGTGGCTTTGCTCCAGGCATTCTCTGCACCTAGCCCTTTCTCTCTGTCCCCTGCTTAGCTCCTGTTGGTCACACCTAGTTCTCATGATGAGGGTGATACTTTCATTGGTAAATTTCCACAATGCTTTATGTCTATCTGTTTCTTTTTATTTTTTTCTCATTAGAAAATGAGTTTCTTGAGCTCAAGAACTATATTTTTAAAAACTTTTTGCATTTTCAGCCCTCAAGACAATTTCTGACACATGGTAGTCCCTCCATAAGTGTTTGTTGCGTGAATAAGAGTACAAATAGGGCAAAATGGTATGAAAGCACAGAGAGGAAAGGTAGGGGGCAGTTTATAGAAGGAAATGTCTTCAACATTGGCAAGATCAGCCCACACCTTACAGGACAAATCACCTTTATCCAGGCAGAGCGCAGAGAAGGACTATCCAGGCAGGCACCACACTGCAGTCACAGAGACATGACAGTGCATGGCATATTGGGAATGGGCGTGGCTTTTGTGCTGGGACAAAGGAGGCCAGAAACAAATTGTGATGGCAAAGGAGATTCCAGAGGGCCCCTGAGATTAGTCTGGGTGGGGCGTGGGGGCAGAAAATTTCTAGGCTATGGAATTTGAATTTCAGCCTGTTGGCAGTGTTGCATGATTGAGGAGTATAACAGGAGAGAAACAGAACAGCAACACCTAGCAAATGTAGCCAGAATGATCTGGAAGACAGAATTGGGGTTGGGAATCCTACTGCAATTGTCCAGAAGAAACGATGAGGCTCTCAAGTTTCCAGCTGAAAAGTTAGAGGGAAAGAGAAAAGGAGAGAGAGAGAGAGAGAGAGAGAGAGAGAGAGAGAGAGAGAGAGAGAGAAGAGAGAGAACAGAGAGACAGAGACAGAGAGAGAGACAAAGACAGAAAGAGAGAGAGACAGAGAATGAATCTTAAAGCTGAAAGAAAAAGAACAACACCAGAAAAATGTCATTAAGTAAAGTATAAGTGGAAACAGTAGAGGGAAGTATGCAAAATCATTCCAAGTGTGCTAATTACGCATAGCAGGTAGTTCCTAAAGAGAAGTCTACTTATTTTGAGGAGAGAGGTTGAGGAGAACGAAGGAGAGGGCAGATAATGCATGTAATTGCAAGCATTTCGAGAACAATTATCCTTGCCTTCGATGTTATAATTTACGTTTTGCTTAAACATTGATGCTTGGCTGTACCATGTCTTAAAACAGAGAACCACGAATAGTTAATAGAAGGGGTAAGCCATTAATTTTAGAGTTAGTAACCCATTAAATGTTAACTCTGTTACTTAATATAGTTCTCTAAATATGAAAAACAGTTGTCCTTGCCTGCCAATGTGTTCTTTGGTGACATCTGAAGCATTCTTCGTGTTATTTTATCTACACCTTTTTCCAAATCCATCTTACCTATTTCTCTAGCAAATCCTAGAAAGAATTGTTTTGGAAGTTTACTGAAAATATAGCCATAAAATGTCATCCTGCTACTGAGACAAAGACACCCCTCCTGGTTAAGGGCTTTCTTCTAGCTTCCTTCATGCTGAGCTTGCACATTTTAATTGTTTTGTAAATATAATAACAAAACAGCAGCAAACCCCAGGTTGCTTTGTCATGAGAAATCTTGATTCTGAAAGACATGAAAAAAAAAAATACATTGGCGTCAAAAAACCACATTTCAAAATCAAGGTCAAAAATCACAGCCAAAATTCTAAAACTTCATGAAGTCTCTGTCTCAGTCCAATACTCAATTCCTTTCTCTTGGCTAAGGATACTAAACAGGAAAAACTAAAAGCAAATGATCTATGTGTTTCAAAGCTTGGTGTGAAATTGATTTTCAGATTATTGTGCAGTATCAGGCTCCAAGCAGGAATGAAGACCGAAAGTGACATCATTTAGCATAGGATTGCTGGAAATCTCGCCTTCAAAATCAGCCATCACATCACGACCATCCTCTCAAAGGACAGTATTATGATTGGAAAAAACAACTACATTTGGAGCAAGTTTCACTATTTCTTAATTCAGTTGACTCCTGATGAAAAGTATAATAGTCATCATTTATTTACCTAGAGACTAAATGTTCGCAAAAGACTAACTCTATTTTCCTAGTTTTGCTAATTCACAAAATGTGACAGAAAGTCGGGAAGTATGCAGAATTCCTATTGTAGTAAACCATCTTAACTTGTTTGAAAGACTCATTAACTGAAGATTATTTTTATGTGTTTTTTGTTAGTCTATGTTAACAGTATGCAATGCTTACACCCTTGTGGGGAGCTGGCACCTGTACATTACATGTCTTCATTCATTTTCTCTTTCCTCTTTCTTTACCACTCCCTCCATCTCTTGATTCCCTTTCCATCTGAGTGGGATGCTTCTCCCTGCTTCCTATGATCTCAGGTCCCTGAGGCACAGGCTGATAGGAGTATGGCTTTAGACAAAGAGTAAGAGCATCACAAGCACATCAGAGTTAGGGCAGAGAGCCAGGTCTCGGAGCCCCAAGCACAGACAAGATCTCTCTAGGAAGGGGACGTCAGGAAAACTCTCTTGGATGTAACATTCTAGCCATGATTTCAAGACAACTGAATGAGATGCTTGGCTTGTTAAATAATGCCAGTTAACTACTTTTAAGGTTTTGAGGAAGAAAATACATAAAGATCTTCAATACTCTCCTCCAACCCAAAAGTCAGTAAGATTAGGGATAGTGTCACAATGCATCTTAAATGTTCTCATTACAGGACAGAAAGATGACAAAGGATGTGATGTGGATGGCTGTACTAATTAGCTTGACTGTGGTTACCCTTTTGATAACATAAATTCTTTTCATGTATATATCTCTACAGTGTGAAAGAGAAGAGGGCCCTTGTCAGGAAACACACCAATGGTAGGAAAGTCTATGAACAGGTCATCCAGCCCACATTAGTGGAATCTTCCAGACAAGCCTCTGGGGATGAAGAATCATCTTGGAATCCTCTCACTGAATAACTTTGATGTCCATTTCACATTTGGCTTGTAAGTGAGTCATGTCACTAGCAGGAGGGCAGCAGAAGATTTCTACTAGTGCACACAGGCTACTTCGGGTTCTTTTTGTGTAAATTGCATAGTATTCATCAATCATTAATTATTTTGCTGCATTACTAAAGTTTGGAAAATATTATTCTTTTTTAACACTCTGTAAGTCCAAAACAATACTAAATGATTTTCCGACACCAACTTGAGGTTTATAAGAATGTCACTGTAAAATTTGTCTTGAATTGTTAATGAATTTTATCTTAGGACTATAAAATTAACTGCTTTTCAACGACTGAAAATCTTAAATGTGTTCAGTCACTTTTCTTGAAATAGCATAGACTGTAAGTATTTGAGAATGTCAAAACAGGAATCTCCAGGATGCTATTTTTAACTATAAACCACAAATTAATAAGTATGATGAGAATGAAATTGTCATTATCAAGAAATCTATTGGGCCAGGAATTCTCTGAAAGTCCTAACACAAAAAGAAAAGTGTGCCTAAATCCTGAGCCATTATGTTCAACCAATTCGACCATATTTTGGCCTTTTGGGGTTTAGTGATTGCTATACCTGGCACAAGCATTAAAAGCTATTCAAGAATAACTTCACTACACACATTAAAATTCTATGTTAATCATCTATCATCTTATTGTTACTTCTGGGAAGTTGTCTGGAAGAGAATCCATCAAAGTATCTTTAACAGCATAAAACAGTTTTGCCAATGGAGCTACTCCAGTTAAAACCAAGGAAAGCTAACCAAACTTCTGTTTAAGAGGCCCTTTTCCTAGTATCATGGCCACTGGGGCAATCCTTCAAAACTATAGCTCTAGACAGACACTCAATAAATTGTACTTCCAGGGTTTACTTATTTAATCTTTTGTTTGCTTAAATTTCTTCCAATATAAGTATTATATGCATTGCAAAGATTGATTTTACCAGCTAGCTAGAGTTGGGGTGTTCATGGAAAATTTATTCTTCTGTAAAGGAAATGTAAGTAAATTTGGTCTCTGGGCCAGGCAGTATATTGTGGTGTGAGAGGAAGGATATCTCAGGGTACAGGCTTTGTGCTTCCTTCATTGTTACACCATTTACATTTTATTATACTATTTCTCATAGTGGAGTATTCAATAAACATTTGAACAAATAAATACATAAAAACAAACTAAAAATAGACCCTACTATTTTAGGCACTAATCAGGGTTTGGAAGAGTAAAGATTATATTACTGCAACATTAAGTGCTTAATGAGCGTCTATCTATAAATAAATATTTAAAATTCAGAGAATATTGAACTGGAAAAAGCATTAGGACTAACCCAATTTAACTCTCTTTGTTCCTAGACGAGTCCAACTGTCAGAGAATTTAAATGTATCAACAGAGGTTATGTAGGCAGTGTCAGTGTGGATTTAGAGTTCAGTTCATCTAGGTTATCATCTCAAATGTTAGAGCGGTCCCTGGCAAATAGTAGGTGATCAATGAATATATATTTTATGAATCATACCTGTGCACTTTCTCCCAATGCATGATATTTACTTTCTTCATGTTATCTTAGATCTCTGGGAGATGCAAACTCATAGAAGTTATGGATTCCATCTTCAAGAAATTTATAATCTGCTAGTGAAAACAGACATGAATGTTTTCAAAGAAAATAGCATAGGTTAAAAAAGGGATTAGCTTTCAGGTGGGCTTTGAAGGGCAGTCAGTTATCCAGTCTACAAATAGATGCTGAAGCTTTGTCATATGTAAGGAAATTTCCCATACAGAAGGATATAGTGGTGAAAGACATAAGCAGATCTTGCATTGAGGAAGACGTGAAGCAGGAAAAGACAAAGGAGAAAAGAATTCCTGGAGAAAGAGCTTGGCAAAGGTCAAGAGTTGTGTGTGTGTGTGTGTGTGTGTGTGTGTGTGTGTGTGTTAAGAGGCAGTGTAAGTGTATCCTTACTGCACTGGAGAACACAAGCTGAAATTATTGGGGGATAGCTTGATGGAAATGATAGAGTGTGAGAAAATTTGAAAGCCACAGATAAATTCTGGTCTTGCTGTAGGGAGTAACAATGTGCTGGTGTAGCTTTTAGTGCTATAAAAGCAGAGAAACTGGTGTTCAAGAATTGCTTTCGAGTCTAGGTATCGCAGGGCTGAAGTGGAGAGCTAGATAAGAAAATAGAAAACAGAACGAACCCATCACAATTTGGGTAAGAAATCATGGCACAAACTTTATAGGGCTTAATAATGAACAACAACAACAACAAAAACCCCCACAGGTCATCTTTGAAATTCTAATTTTGAGTTTTCAACTACAAAGCAATAATGCATTTAATTAGAAAGAGCTGTCTTACTGGAAAGCTTGGGAATTTTTATGAAAATGACTGTGATTGCCTTGAGAGGCTATGGGACTTGATAAAATCAAAGCTATGCTTGGCAAGATGAGACCCAGGGGATTAATAACTACACAACTCACCATCCCCAGAGCACCTTCAAGGTGAATACTTGAGAAATACAGGACAATGTAGGTGCAGAGGTAAATGTGGCTAAAAGTCAACAAGCATGCAATGAAGTGACATGCAGAATGCAAACACATTAGGAAGTGTAGAATAAAATGAAATTTCCCTTTCACTTCAAGATAGCCATCTGGGTTTTCCCATTTCTTTGCTACCTACTCACAAATCATAAAAATCAACTTTATAATTTCTTCCAAGAATCATTTGTTTTTTTCCAGTTAGTGCAAAGCCACACTGTCTGTCTGGTGCAAAGAAAATGGAAGGCAATGGATAGGTGTGAAGCCAGCAGAACCTGTGTGAATCAGGGATAGCACCGAGAACTCAGTGGCAGCCTCTTCTGAGTCAGTCTCTGGAGCCAGAGAGGCCATGCAAAGGGTCAGCAAAGTCAGTATTAGGACTGGCGTTTAGGACAACAGTGCAATCATTACTAGTGATGAGTTCAAGAGTTTATTACTGAACAATGCCATAGACTGAATGTTTGGGAAGACTGAGGATCATGCGAACATGAGACACTAACAGAGATGGGCACAACACAGACAGAAGGAGGTAAATTTGGACTCAGATATTCCCATGGGCTGGGACTGGTTCTCCTAACACTTTTCCAATTTCCAGTGAGTGGCTGTGTTTAGCGTTAGCAGGCCTGTTTTGCATACAGATAATTGAAGCTCAGAAGTTACATCAGATGGCTGTTGTTTAGCTGGTAATTTTCGATTAGAACCTGCATTCAAATTTGAGTCTCCAGAAGATTCCATTTTAGGAAAAGCTTACTCCCACATCAATCAGATCCCAAGGAGCAGCCACAAGTGCTGCCATCAGAAAACAAAAACTCCAGAAATTCTGGTCGGATGAATAAAGGCCTATCAGTTAGCCCCATAAAGATCTGTTTTCAGTGCTTCCGTATTAGGGAGAGTCCAAAATTAGCAGGCTAAATGGAAATAAGTCTGACATATTTGGGCACCATGACGAGACAGCAGACAAAGACTAAACTTGCTCCCCATTTGGAGCCTGCTGATGTGGTACAGGTTCTACAGGGAATAGCAGGGGAATGGAGCTTAGTGGCTGTAATCAGGGAACTCGAAACGTGCGTGGGGAGTGAGCCAGGCACACAGGCGTTAGCATTACAGACAGCTAAATGAGGCAGAAATATTATAGGCAGGTAGGTAGAGGCAGGCCTTCCAGAGGGTGGAGACAAAAGTGAAAACATACCACAATTGTATCAGGAGGGACATCAGTTGGAGGTCAGGCCTCAGGATAATAACAAAAGGACCAAAGCTACACACTCCTGAAGGGGTGAAATAAGTGGTAACATTTGGCCTAATAAAGTAGGTAGGCATCAGTCACCTCAGTGGCAACCAAGACCCTAGATCCCCTGTCATCTGAGAAATGCTTTGTTCTTCTCACGCCCGCTCTCTACCTTGCTTACCTCCCCATTAGATCAGTATTACCTAAGCGGCTATACTTATTATCTTATT